TTTATATAGTTATTTTGTTACAAACCTTTAAATTAGTATTGTATATAATATATATAGAAAGCTAATTAATTTATATAGTTATTTTGTTACAAACCTTTAAATTAGTATTGTATATAATATATATAGAAAGCTAATTAATTTATATAATTATTAATATATATTTATTGATATATTAGAATAGTTTAAATATTAAAAAGAGATTTTTAATAAAATAAATATTTATAAAACATAATAGAAAGCTTTAAAGTATTATAAAAATTATAAATTAATTTTAACCAATAAAAAACAAATAATTTTAATTAATAAAAAATTTAATTTAATAGAGTTTTTTAAGATAATATAAAAAATAATAAAGTATTTTAAAAATCATTGTAATTTATAATAACTTTTTTAAAAAATATTTAAATAAAACAAAAAAAATATAATAAATTTAATACATTAATTACAGGTTTCAATAAAGACTCTTTAAATAATGTTAGAAAAATTAAAAATATTTTTATTAATATCAAAAAATATTTAGGTTTTTTTCATATCTGATATATTTAAATTATTATTAAGTCATATAAAGACTTTTAATTTAGGTTTAAACACATTTATGTTAATTAATAGACTAATTTTTATATACTTGAAAATATTTTAAATATATTAAATTATTATTAAATAAACTTTTGTTATTAATTTTAATCATAATTATTTTAATATTTATAAAAATCTTTAAACAGATAATAAAATAAAATTCTTAGATTTTAAAGAATTTTGATTTTATAATTGACTATCAAAAGATCTTGAAGGATAAAATTACTTGTCTGAAAATAAACCATATTTATATTATAATATATAATAAAACAAGATTTTATTAAGATATATAATATTTTGAAATATTTGAAAAACTATTATACTATTTTTTTTAGCATATGATTAATAATCTAAAATTATAATAATAAAAATAAAACAAAAGATTACCTGTTTCTTTTAAAAAAAACAAATAAATAAAATTTTGCATTTAATACCTGTTTGCAAAAAAAAAAAAAAGATTAAAAATTTGATATACAGTATATATTTAATATTAATTAAATAAATATAATAAGCAAATATTAAATATAATATAAATATACAAATAAATAAAAAAATAGATAAGAATGAATCTTTAAATTATTTAATATAAAAAAAATATTTGAATACTGTAAATATGTAATTTCAATTATAAAAAACCTTTATAAATAATTTTTTTAAATTTTATATTTAAAAAAAAAAAATCTTTTTGATAGTAAAAGACATTTGAATTATGTTTTCACTATTAATTTAAAGACCATATTTAGAAATAGAGTTTATTTATTTTTTTAAATAAAATCAAATTCAATTAATATATTGTATATCAAGAATTTAATGCATTAGAACAAAATTAAATAAAAATAAAAAATAGTTTATAAACAATTTCCGAATACGTAATTCGTAAATAAGTTAATGGATTACAGTATACGGTTTAATTGATGGACAGATAGTAATTATATTTTAATGTATAGTATATTTTCCCGCCTTATATATGTATATATAATGGCTGTTAGATGAACGTTAATTGATCGACGTACATCTTACGCATTACGATCTTGCACATCGAACATGGGAAAAAAACCATTCATCAACCGCAAAACCGCGAAACACTATCAATTAGTTCATCGATCGCAACGTGATCCTTTGATAAATGATGAGGACTCCTCTTCGAGAGTTTTTGTTGAGGTGCCACCATCGAATTTAAGGGTAATTTTTCAGATACAAAAATTGAAACATTTTTCAGTGGGGATCGTGCTTTACATGAACAAGAGATGTAAGAAGCGAATCGATATCACGCGGAGAATTGCATTGCGGATGGATGGTAGTTTCCACAAATTGTGCAATTCCAAGTTTAATCATTTTATATCATAAACCTACATCCAGGGTAAAGTTGTCGAGTCGAGCGAAATTTTAGGCGTTGGAGAGAGTCGACAGAAGTCTCAAGAACAAATCGAAAGGTGGGAATTTTTTTACAATTCTCAATTTCAGATGTTAAACGCGAATTCTTTATCGATTGATGATGAAAGTTTGTAAAATTAGCAACGTAGGTCAAGCAGCCTTATATGGCGTATATTACGATGATACAGAATACGATTATCTTCAACATTTGAAACCGATCGGTGCTGAGGACGTTGGTGGTGCAGTATTCATCGAAGCGCCGACAAGGAAAAGCGAAAAGGAAAAGCGAGAGAAAAAAAAGGGAGGCGATCTGTCCTTCGTTAAGGATGAAAAAATAATTAATCAGGTGTGCTTCATGATCCAAACAGTTTGCATCATTGGTGGAAAAATTATTCATGATAGAATAAATACAAATATATACGGTCTAATGATAGAAATCAGAAAATACGAAAAAAGAGAAAAAAGTATCAATAGTTTTACCCGAAGAGGTACTACCATCGAAAGAAGAAATATCAATTGGTTATCTTGATCGATCCTACATTCCGGACGGTAATTTAATCATGAGATACTATACTCAGTTTATCTACAAATCAATTGATTCGCTGTGTGAATATTTTTCTTTTGGATAAAGATTTACAAGGATTCCAACCCGATTTGGATCCAAGTCTTCAAGAAGTACTTGAAGCTCTTGAAGATGAAGCATATGTAGAGAATGATTTGGGTGATGAATATTTTGCGGCTCTAAACGCTGATGGAGAGTTCGATGAGGCAGAGGAGGAGGAAGAGGAGGAAGAGAGAGATGAGGGAGATTACAATTGGGAAACGGAATTTAAAAGATATCAGAAAAGCAAGAGAATTTTAAAGAGAAATGATGACGATCACGAAGGCAGCGATCTTTATGAAGATGACAGGAAGTCAAGAACGACTGGTTATTCGATGTCAAGTTCTGTTATGTATAGGAATGATAAGCTTCGGTTGCTGGATGAACAGTTTGAAAAGGTGAACCACGCGAAAAGGCGTGCTTGAATATTTTCTAGGTGCCTTATATTAACCCAGATATTCTATTTCAAACAGGTGGAAAAGGAATATATGTCAGATGACGACTCCGAATCAGATGATGATTCCGTATCATCATTACAAATACGTCAAGATTTTTCGAATATTCTTGATGAATTTATTGGAAAGTATGAAGTTACTCGTCACAGTGTTTTTCGGAAAGGACCAGCTGACGATGCATTAGAAGAGAATCAAAAACTTTCTGACCAATATGAAGTGGATAGTATTGTTGATCGTAATAAATCGCATAAACCAAACAAAGATGAAGAACTGGTTACAATCGAGAGTGAACAAAGTGTCAGGAAAAGGCAAGCCTGGGATTGCCAATCAATCCTAAGTGCGTATTTTCTTTGTTGAGAAATAATACGGTAATTCCAACAACGAATAACTTATCGTGATCAACGTATAGGTACATATTCGAATCTCGAAAACCATCCAGCATTAATACGTGAAAAACCTAGTAAAAAAATTGAAATCAATCAACAGACAGGATTACCTATTCAAGAACGGAAGTCAGATGAAGAAAAGTCACCAGATAACGAGGAAGATATAAACATCAGCGAGATAGAAATAGAGGAAAATGAGGATGGTCAAATAAGAGGTTAGCAAATACATTTCACCGGAAATTTTGATGGATTTGTATTCTTTATTAAATTATCAATTTTTTTTTCAATGCCAGTTAACCTTGGTGAGGCAAGATCAAAGAACGAAACAAAGGAAGAAAAGAAGAAAAGAAAAGAAAATGTCAAGAATGAGAAGAAGGTAAATATGCGTTACGTTGCAAATATATATATTACTACTATTATCTTTATTATCTAACGAAACTTGAACTTAGAATCGCCGACTTGAAAAGAAGTCACTTAAAAAAGCTTTCGCCAAGGAACACATGAAGCAAACCAAAATTTTACAAAATCTTCAAACCAATTTTGTTGGCGCCCTTCGTTTGGAGTAAATATTATTTAACTGGATTCTTTTCCAGCTTAGGGTTAGGGGTCAAATAGTTCAAGGTTGAAATATGTAAAAAAAAGTTTTTATTTTGTTTAAGATTAAAATTATCTGAATTGTGTCACGTACATTAGTGAAATTCAATGGCATAAGTATGACCCGGTTTATGTTATCAATAATTATAAGCGATGATAATTTTCCCATCAACTAGTACGTTTACTAGACTAGAAATCGATATTTCTAAAATTTTTCAATATTCAGAAACTGGTTGTGTTGTTGGTCATTTCAGAAGCTGAGATTGTCCCTTTGGCAAACACCATTTCCAAAGATCCAATAACCTTGGAGATCTCTTTCTGCAAAGCGACTTCCCTCTTCACTTTTGCATGCAGTGATTCTATCAATTTTTTGATCAAGGGTGAACTGTCAATCACGGGTGCATATATTTCTACGGATAAATGAAATCATTCACTTAGCATATTATCATTAAAAAAAATTGGATTGCCGTCGATCTAATACTTGAAGCTTACCAATTATAACCTCCCCGACATCACACAGGAGACTTGTGTATCTTGGATCGTTTATCCATCTTATCAAAAACTTAATCAATGGTTCTAAAGAGGCATCATCACGCCCCGCGATTGCTATTCTCAGTACGTCACGATGGATTAACTCTTGTAGCATCGAAACCGTAAGAATTGCATTTGTAGTCTAGGATATGTATGACATACATGATTAGATGCTCATTTGAAGATACATTGATATGAAAAAAATCTATCTTACTTCTGTCAGTACTGCATCTAGTGCATTCGAATACTGGAATTTTTTTAAATAATTATCATATGAAGCAAGATGATACCTTCTTTTTGCTTCTATTATGAAATCATCCTTTTTTTTAACATATCAATCAGTAAATTGGTGAAAATTTGACATCTCCCGAAAATCAATTTCATTCATTCTCACCTGCATCCCGTTGTATGTACGACCCCGTGTAAAATATTGGTAGGATCCAACTTTTGGTTGTTTTATTTCACGCTGTTCTTGGGAAGATGTTTTCCGGTGTCGTATAGTCAATGATCCACAAGTCATTCCAGTTATGAGACTTTTCTCATCAGGCTAAGTACATCATTTTTTTTAAAAAAAAAATTAAGTAAATCACAGTTTTAAAATCTATTAGGCTTTAAAAAGAGAAGTGACTTACTGATAAAGCCAAACACAACACTGGAGACGGATATCTTATGCTATGAACTACTTCATAATCCTGAACATCGTAAATTTTAACGTGATGATCCAAAGAACCGGTGATGATACGCGATTGTGACTGATTAAAGCACATGGAGGTAATTGTCTTTTGGTGATTGGACACTGAGCGAACAACTCGACCACCAGCAATAGTATCCCATACGGTTATTGTAGGTCCGCCTATGTGGAAGATGAAACAAATTTAGAAAAAGTAGGCAAAGGTGACGAACGAAACTTGTATCAACGACGTAATTTACCTGCGGATACTATCATCCCACCGTTAGAAAACATCAAAACATCTTCTACTGGTGCATCGTGTACCATGGAAATAGCACAAGTGTTGGAACGCAAATCCCAAAGTTTAATCGTTTGATCATAAGAGCCCGTCAAAACCAAATGAGGATTATCATTATTTATTACCCCAGCTCGTACGTAATCCTAAATATACATCAATTTTAATGACTTGTAATAAGATTTAAAATATGGATGCACGAGTATCTTTTACCAACCTGGTGTCCCTGAAGTATTGATGTCGCCTCTTGACCAGGTATATCCCATATGCGAACTGATTTATCATCGGAACATGAGAAAATTTGGGAATTATTGGGCATGAATCGAGTGATGTGCACTGGACTAAGCGAAAGAAGTTGTTATCGTATTGGCTTAGGAGGAGCTGAATGTAGATCTAAATTTTCTTACAGGTCATGACCTCGCATCGTTCTTAATATTGCCCGACTATTAGTATCAAATACCTAAATGATCAAAATAATTAGAATATTAGATCCATTTTCTCATCAAATCGTCTGCTTTCAGCTGGTGTACCTGAATCAACCCAGTAGCATCCCCGGCCACCAATAGCTTGCCGTCATTCCGGATCGTCCCACAATAGGCGATATCGTTGAATCTCGATATGTTCTTTTTAACTTTGAAATTTTGTGAAGAGTATATTTGAACATGGGTTGACGATGTGACTGCAAAATCGTATGGTGATATGGGTGAAAATTTGATTGAGGTTACGGACGCGGTTTCCGAGAGCGTGGAGTGTATCTTGATAATTTACGTGTAAAAATTCATGTCATTAAGAATTACGTATAAATTGATAGCAATAATTTCATTCGACCGTTGGTTTCTCTCGAACCAGAATCCATATTCTCACCTTAAATTTTTTCCAAAATTTGGATTCTTCCGTATCCTTCACGATGGGTACGGCAAACTTTCTAATTGATAACTTTTTGTACGAAGACATTTTTGTTCGTGATTAATTATTTGTTACGCATGAAGAATGCAACATGCTCACCTCAGATTCTTGCTATTTCGGTGATTATCAACAAAAAAATTTTTGCGTTACCTAGTAAACGTCATAATTAATTTTTACTATTTAAAGAAATGCAAAGATTATAAAGATTATTCGAAAGGATAATGATTGTTTTTTTTTTAATAACATAATGGTAATTATTTTTTATTATATTTTATATGTATCATCTCCTTTTGTTTTTTAGATTTCTCAAGTTCTGATAAGGTTGTATTTTTTTTTGATTAAATTATCTTGTTCCTTTTTATTATGGTATTTCACTTGTGTTTAAATATATTAATTTTATAATAATTTTTTATCTAGTTTTTGATTCCTGTTATTTATTAGGTTTTCTTGTATCAAATAAAGATATATTGTATGTTATCTGTCAAATAGGTATAAAGATAAAAAACTATCTTTCTTAATAAAAATTTTATTGGATTTTTATTTTCATAAAGCAAATGAATTTTTTCAAAAAAAGATTTATCTTACTGTAATTATCAACCCTGTTTATTAATTAATCAATATTTTTTTGCTACCATCCAAAAATTAATAAAATTGCTTTTTTAAAAATATTGATTATTTATTAAAAAAATCGATATTGTTGGATATCAAACATTCGTTTACTTAGAAGTTTTAATTACATAATTTTTTTAATTAGGTAGAATCAAATTTCTTTTATTGTTAACATCTCATGCCTTTTTATAAATGATCTTATTTGCACTTCTTCGAAAATATGACGCCCATATTTTTACGACACGACAATCAATGTATTGAAATTGGTTTGATATATAACTATAATTACATTTTATTGAATCGAATTATTAATTTCTATTAACTGTGGATTGATTACATCAATTTTTTATAATATTGTTCGTGAAGTTAAAATTAAAATCGCATCCTAATATTAACCTAGTCGAAATAATATCGATAGTTGGAGTTGATATCTTAACAAATCGAATACTAGCATGGCAAAACGCAAATGTGCTATGAATATTAGTCTAATAGCTTTGCATTTTGGCTTCCCGAGTAAAGAGCTAGCTTGAAACCCTTGGGACATTTGCTTAAAGAAATGTCATCTTAGGATAATTAAATAAAGTTGTTATAATTTAAGTGAAATAGTAAGATTACAAATCTAATAAACACGAAACCTTTTTTTTTTTGTAAAATTGAAATGAGGGTTTCCAATACAAAGAAATGAATTAAAATTGTACATTATTCAAACAATGCATTAAATGGTTAAAGTATGGTATAGGTGACACTCATTGTTAATCATCAATGGTACCGCCTATACTATACTTTAACCCATTAAATATTCAAATTAAGTAATATATGATCGTACTTTCAACGAAAAATAAATCTTAATTTTGTGAATTTGTTTTTAGGAGAAAAAGAAAAAAGAAAATTCTAACGTTCATGTGATAATAACAAAGAAAAGGCTAAGGCTCGACCCACCCAAGATCACCCGTTCCCTTTCCTTAGCAATATGTTAGGGGCACAGTTGATTTATCTTTTCCGCCATTCCCACCACTACCTATATTGGTCAAGTTTCTTCCGTTATATCCTAGATTTGATCCAGTTTCGGTTCGGCTCTCACGGTTTTCCTTGTTATTGCTATCTATGACGTTCGACACCAGTGGATGATTATCGGCGAACATATTAACGTCATTTCCATCATTATGCAGTAACATTTCGTGTTGCGGCAGCGGCATCGATGGCACTCTCGGCATCTGAATGATGGGCGGTTGCGAAGGAAGGGGGGGTGGTGAGGAAAATGTGACATTCTGTTGCAAGTATGTTGTCCAATCATCTAAATTCGCACTCTGTGGTATATTCCATAATCCTACCATTCCTGGTGCTGCATAAGGATCGGTATCACCCACCGCTTGATTCTGAGGATCTGCATCGGAAGATATGGACGATACGTTTCGGAATCCAAATGTGTTATTAAACATTTGTGCGGACTCGGCTAGACCATGATGCAGTGGTGATTGATTGAAGGTGTTGAATTGCTGATGCTGTGACGTTGAAGTTGGTTGTGATGACATGGAACCAGTAAAATTCACTATCGTTTGGATAGGTGCATATGATTGTGAAGCGTTCACAAGAGAGGAATTTACCATATGCGGTGAAGAATTGTCCTTGCTGTTATTATTTGGTGGTGAGGCCGATTGGCTAAATTGTGCTCTATATCGCTCCTGTCTTCCATGTCGATCAATTCCTCCATGCGAATATTTATTGCTTGAGAAATTTCCGCGCTTTCTCGAATTTCGACCTGATCCATTGCCAGGTGTTGTGGCGTCCAATTGTACTTCTTTCAGACTCATCAAACCTTCCAACATGTCGCTGTATCTAAGGGCCGATGGCCAGATTCGTTTCAGGAATTCTAGCACTTCAAGGCTTTTATTAAGATTTCTTTTTGCGGGCTCTGAAGTCAAACGATCAGCTTGTGTGGCATTATATATATGAATTACAGCGGCTGTGAATACGCAGTAAACAACTGGATTCATACTATGCGACAATTGGTTCCGCCTTAGCATCGTATCTGCAATTTCCGTAATAGCATTTGCCGCAGAGGTACATACGCTATGCGATGAATTGTTGCTTGCCGTATAAGGACGATGAAGTAATATTAGAGTTGAGTAATAAATGATGTGTAGACAAAGTGTTGTTGTATCAGACGATTGATCTGATGATGGATCATATTGCAGATGCGGAGGTAACGATTTAAACCATACTTCAAGTGATGAATTGAGAATGGGAAGTACCGTTTCTCCGGTCGTCGGTAAATTGTTTCTGATGGCATAAATATTTTGTATAATTTTGCCCGTGATCTCGCAGAGTTTAATTAGACTATTGAACCGTGAAATTGAATGCGATACCGCGTGTGGTGAAGCATTAGTAGGCGCAGGGGACCCACTAGACGTTGAAATAGGTGAGGAAGTTACGTGATCGACCTTAAATGGCAATGGGTCAAACTCTTCTTCTTCTTCTTCCGAAGGATAAGCCACGTCCACATCCTTCTCATCAATTGCCAATGGACGTCCCAAATGCGCACTCGGAATCCTATTATCGGGATTTTAGGAATTATGTGGTTATGATGATATACAAGGGAGTAAAAATAATTGAAATTCCCTTTGAAAAGAGAAATGAATACCAAAGCGTTTTACCCACCTATCAATGACAAAACATGCCCAAAATACGCGCTTTTGCTCTTCTCTTTCTTCATGTGTCTGTTTTATAAGATGCCACCTCTCGCTATTACGGTGCATACCTAAATCTTGCGCCATCCGTGATGCCATACCAGCATACAACCACCCCCTAGTGACTCTGGCTGCACCATACTCCCTCATCGACAACACCACCAACGCCTGAATGGTGGTCACCCGAGCATTATCGTAGTCGTTGTCAAGCAATGCCTTTGCTCGATCAAAGAAAATGTCCCCAGCTGATTCAGGATCATCTGGATATTTCCTTAGCTCCGGTTTATTCGAAAATCTCGCAGCAAACGAGTAGATAGAGTTCAATAATAGATGCGGCAGATGTTCCTTATCCTTCAATTGATCAAAAAAACGCGGTCTATAAAGAACCGGCAGTATAGGATGTATGTGAGTGAAATAGATCTCCAACAAATGATCGGAAATCTCTTGAGATGGCAATTCCATCAATTCCGATCGTTTTAGCAAATCAAAATTTTGTGTAGAGGCAATCATTTCACCCGGATGACGCCAATTGGCATTTGAAATTGATAGAATACCATTCTTATAGCGATCGCTTTTTCTTAATAAGTAGAGACCGCTGCTTCGTCCGTGATAACGAACTTGATTGTTCTCATCTATACTAAGTATTTCCATGACATCTTTAAGATCGTCAATTAACAAACTATCTTTTCCATCACCTGTGGTATGTGTATCTGGTGAATTTATTATATTTGAAGACTCACTACCGCCAACATGCTCTACACTTTCATCGGTGCCATTACGATGCGTGACAAAATCATGTTTTTCCAATTTTTGAGTTGAACTCGCGTCACCCTGCATCAGCTCAGACAGCACGGCTTGGGCACGTGGATCACTACTATGTACTAAACCACCTAACAAAAATTCCATTCTATGAAGACGAGTTTCGATGGCGTCGATATAACCTTTAGGTGGTCCTCTGTGAATTATTTATTTATTTTTATTACCATTATATTTACAATCGTAAAGTGCTAAGAAGAGAAAAAATTTTTTGTTTCGGATCAAATCTATATACCTTTTCTTGGTAGTATCATTATAAGTACATTCCTGATTGAAGGAGGAACAATTACCGCACACGGGTTGAAAACCATCGCACTAGTGGATTTCAACAAAAGTATTAAAAGAGGTCACGTACGAGTATAACAAGAGTCTAATACCTACCTTTACTTTCTTGCGACGACAAGAATCACAAGCTTTGGAAATGCGTTGTCTTTTGAAAATATTATCGTCAGGCATGGTTAGTATGTTTGCAAAGAAGTTAATTATCACTATTCAAACTAGTGAGAAATTGCACAAATGCTATTACTTCTTTCTGAGTTTAAGGTTCTTTTGTACAACCGAGGCTCAATATGGAAAAAAAATTATTATACAGAAATGATGAATGTATGTACGTACGTATTACAAATACTTCGATTGACCATTAATAAACTCCTAACATCGAACAGTTACGTAATATATGCATTTGTGTCATCGGTGTTATCTCCTTTTCATTTCCTGGTTATGTTTATTTAATAATAAACGTGTTAGTAAATATTGTATCACTACTGTCGATAATAGATTCATAGTATTCTATAATGGTGTTACATTCATTCATAACATTCTATATAGAGCTTTATCATTATGATAACATACAACGGTCAACGCAAAGCGCAGTCAACATTCGATGCATCGGAGTGTCGTAAACAGTACAATAGGATCGCCTCTCGGGTATAATTGTGTATAATTGGCTAGATTGGGATCTTGGCAATGTCGGAAAAAAGTATTAATATATTATAGCGTATCGTCTCAGTGCAGCGTAAGCGTGCTCAGGCATTTTTCTTATTTCGAGAACTGGGGGAATTACAGTATTTTTCAAAAAAAATAGCAAATAACAAATAAAAAAATAGGAAATAACTTACAATATGTAACAAAGCCTTTGCTCTATTAATCACCTATTACTTCACAATGGTCGCACGAAATCACATCATAAAGTATTTTAATTCACTAGATTTATTTTCAGAATAACAATAATACAATACAAAATAACCATCATATTAATATTAATAAATTTATAGATTTATATCTAATCCTTGAATTCTTAATATTAAGATCACTATGTTGCTTAAAATTCCTAGTAGTATTATCTCAGTACTAAGTTGATATTGAATTTACTATGAATTTAATAGAGTAGGTTATAATTCATATGTTAAATTAATTATAAGTTAATATTATTTTAATACTATTTTAATATTAGTTTGAAATTCTAGTATTACTTATATAATTTAACTATTTAATAATTATTTTGTTATAGGAAAATAAATTTATTAAACTATAACTATATGATATTAACAATTTAAAATTTTTTAAGTTCTTATAACTCTTTAGATATAATTAAAAAAAATAATTAAAAAATTGGATTTTTTCTCAAAAACAAATATTAAAATTTTATTTTTAAAAATTTATTGTCAACTTATATATATTTTAAGTTGTTATTCTAATTTAAATTTTATAATTTTAAAACAACTCTTTCTGATAATTATTTAATTATAAAAAACAAAAAAAAACAAAACTTTTTTCCATTCTTCTTTTTTATACTTGAAAAATTTTTTTTAAAAAAATTTTTGAGTTATTTATCTTTTTTTCATCTTTTTTTTTTATTTTTCTTTCATTTTTTCATATCATTTTTTTTTTATATTTTCTTATTTTTTTTTTTTTTATAAATTTCTTTATATATATTTTTTTTTTTCTTTTTCTTTTTTTTCTTTTTCTACTAAAATAAGATTTTTTTTTTTTTAATAATTTTTTTTTAATATATTACTTTTTATTTTATTACTTTTCTGGCCAGTAGATTTCTTCTCTCAAAAATTATATAGGAAGCAGCAAATCTTTTATAAAATATGAATTTTAAATTTTTTTCTTTTTTATAGTTTTTCAAAAAAAAAAACACAAATGATTTACTCTCTTCTAAAGATCTATATGATCATTATTATTAAATCTAATATTTTTTATTTAATAGTAAAACTAAATACATTTAAAAAACTAATATACTATTATTATTTAAAAATATTTAAAAAGTTATATCTAATAATACCTAAAGCAATATAGTAACTAATGTTAATATAGTTAACTATAAGTTAGATTAATTGCAAGTATTAATAGAGGATGAACAAAAGTTTATAATCAACTTTTTTTTTTAAAAAATAAAATTTAATTTAAAAACTAATTAAACTTTATTAATAAAAAATATACTCAATACAT